AGCAGGGACATGAGTAATTTCACTGCCAGTCCCTTCAGGCTGGCCTAGACAGGGGAGATGCGGCTACTGAGGGACCAAGGTGGGAAAACCCAGCCAGGCCTCATGCCCAAGAAGCAAGGAGGATTCAGGCCTTGCTTGTAGACTGCTGTTTTCCCTACTCACATCCACATCTCTTTCTCTGCCTCACAGAGCCTCCTGCAGCCTCCGTGGCTGGTTTGAGAGGGCAGGCTTGACTGAGGCTTCAAGGTAGGTGTGTGGCCAGGCTCATGCCAACCAGCGGGGGCCACAAGGACTGGTTCAAGGATGGGCACTGGACCCAGTGCTGCCCATGAGAGCTAGGCTTGGGGCTCTGGTTGGATCTGAAGGGATGAAAGAAGCATGCTCTCCTACTGGGTCACTCTGGAGATGCAACCTAGAGCAACCAGCAGCCACTTTGTCACATGACAGGGGGACCAGATGAGGAGAGAGCCAAAGGAAAACAGTCCCTGAGTCTCAGAGACTAGTACAAATCCTGGACTTTCCAGTTACAAAAGTCAGGAAACAGATTCACCCATGAAGTTATGGCACACTAAGTCACTCCCCCACTCTGTGTGCCTTCTGCTTTGGTTTAGATCAGAAAGCAGAGTCAGGACTGTTCATGGATAGCGCGTTCACCCTCCTGCTCAATACAGGAATCTGATGAACTGATGAACACTGGGTTTTGATTTATGCTTCATTAAATACTGACATAAAGGAGAGTTTACTTTTACCTGTGGAAGTCTCAACTTTTTTGACTTAAACAGCCATGCTTCCGTCTCTGAGCAGGAGGCCCCTTACTGCCGTCACTCGGGTTTCTACCTGAGTACAGATAGGTTTGACTCTGTCACTGCTACCTTTTGCCTTTTTGATTCCTTCTGTCCCCAGGTTTGATTAGGTAGACTTACTAGCGTTTAATAACATTTTCAATCTTCCTGTCTCTTTCTTCAGAATTCCCACGACAGTCATTATGGGGTATGTCTTTATTTCTACAGGCCTAACTCTACCAATAATCCACTGTGTTTTTTTTCTGTCCTATGACTCCCCCTCATCCCACTGCTGCCAAAATAATCTCTTTAAAGTGCAGTGTAGATCATACCCTGTCCCAAGTCCCAATTATCCTATCACCAATTAACCCTGGCATTTAAAGCCCTCTATACTAATCCTCCCTCGCTCCTCCTCCGTTATTCCTAATAGTACTTTCCACCACGCCCCGATCCTTTCCATTCCAGGAAGGGCCCTGCTAGTCACTGCCCGTAGAGAAGCCTCGTGCATTCCTGTCCTCCTATCTTGCTGTCCTCATTATTCCTCTTCGCTAATTAATCTGGTCTTTGAAACCTAATGCAAATCAGTCTACCAGTTCCAATGACCTCTGATGCATCCACTGCAAATACCACTGACTACTTAGCTGACATTTAGTTGCACACAAGTTTTTATAGTAATTTAAACAGTCAGGTCTCTGAGTCTTTTTGAATATATTGCCAGGTACATGCGGACAATTATAGCGTTCTTACACTTTTCTGTGTGACTCCAGAGCCCAGGACAAGAATGGATTATGTTTAGGTTATACTGATAGCTTTTACTGCTTTTTTCAAATGGATGAACCTACAAAAACAGGGAAAGAATAGAGGCAACCCTGCTTGAATATATAACTATGTTTACCTAAAATCAAATATCTGGTGAAATCCAGAAAATTTAAATAACCACAGTGAGATTTTTAAATAAATAGATGTTTATTACCAGTGAGAGGGATATGGCTCAGATGTTTTTCACATAACCTAGGTCTTCCTGGTCTTTTAAAACTTTTTTTCTTTACTAGTCTTAAAAAAATTTCCAGTTCAATTTCAGAAAAATTACAATATGAAGGTTAAATCCTTGAACTTCAAACTTGGCAGTGAGGGTAAGAAGGTAGCTGGATTTTAGGCAGTTGGTTATCGCCAAATAACTTGAAGGAGAATTTGTGAATGTAAAACTAGTTGGTGTTTCCCATGTTCTGGTTCTCAGGGTGGATTCCTCCTCATTAATTCAAATGCATGGATGCAGTTTTTGTTACAAAGTCCTCGGGTCACACCTGAGGAAGATGAGATCAATAGAGTTCCAGAGCAAAGCCGATAGCGCCCAAGTGTAGACGCACTGAATGTTACACCTGAACCCAGCATGTCTGGATTTCAAGAGCAGAAGACTTCCACCGTCTGGATTTCAGGAGCAGACGACTTCCACCGTCTGGTTGGGACTGATCTCATGTTAGGACACCGAGTAACTACTGACCTCAGTAAGGGGCAGAAAACAAAGTGCAGCCTGAACTTCAACTGTAAATGGTTGGAAAGGGCTGGAAGAAGGTTTTATAGAAGGTTGTCCTGACAATTAGCCTCATCCTTCACAATAAGGGGAAAGACAGAAGCTGCCTGTCATAATTCAGAGTCAAGAATCAGTCAACCTATCCCAGATAACCTGTCCTGACGGCCATGCTGTCTGTCACTTCTCTTCACGCATGGTTACGTCTGTACCATTTAGGCAGCACCTGTCATCAGTGGACATTTCCTCTACACTGGAGGAAGCGAGAACTCCATTAAAATGGGATTAGACCTTGGCTGCGATGAACCCTTTAGCATTATGACTATGCTAAAGCCGAGTTAGGGACCTGAGTATAGTTATGAAACCAGCCGAGTTAGGGATGGTGGGTATAGTCATGAAATCAGCCAAGTTAGGGATGGTGGGTATAGTTATGAAATCAGCCGAGTTAGGGATGTGGGTATAGTCATGAAATCAGCCGAGTTAGGGATGTGGGTATAGTCATGAAATCAGCCGAGTTAGGGATGGTGGGTATAGTCATGAAATCATCCGAGTTCGGGATGTGGGTATAGTCATGAAATCAGCCGATTTAGGGATGGTGGGTATGGTCATGAAATCAGCCGAATTAGGGATGGTGGGTATAGTCATGAAATCAGCCGAGTTAGGGATGGTGGGTATGGTCATGAAATCAGTCGAGTTAGGGATGGTGAGTATAGTTATAAAATCAGTTGAGTTAGGGACTCTGGGTATAGTTCTGGAATCGGCAGCTCTGGAGTACCGACAATGCCAAGGAAGATATGTGCCTTCCTCCCCTTCCCACCAAAGTCCCAGTACAGGTTCACTCTAAGCCTCCGGGTAGCCCTAGGCTGAGCAAGCTTGGGGAAGCTGGGGTCACTCACCTATGTAGAAATACTCTAGGGACTTGTCCTCTGATGACAAATCCTTTATGGTGCCTCCGAATCGAAACCATAGTCCAAAAGCAATGACGGCTGAGCCAGCCAGCTGGAAGGCAAACAGCAGCAGGTTACAGTGAAAGGGAGTGTGCGCTCAGACCCCAGCGGGCTGGGGGCACAGAGTACTTAGGACTTGCAGGAGTTCACCCTTTAGAAAGCATCGGGTCCAGGACACTTTACCTTTCATAGGGGAGGGAACAGGCTCAGAGAGGGGAGAGGAGTGCTGGAAGCCCCTCAGGCCCCAGAGGGACATTAGAACTGGGCTTCCCTGATGCCCAGTGCAGGCTTCTCCCAGGCTGACAGGCTGCCTGGCAGTTATGGGGTGCATGCAGCATGGCAGGCAGGGGCTGGACAATAATGTCCCCCACGACATTAGCCCTACAAGGCATCTGCCCCTGGTCCCGGGAACACTGGGTCTCTTCTCCAACACCCAGTGAGAGGGCTGTCTCTCAGCCGCCAGATCACCAAGGGCAAGACGAACTTCAAGACCTGGGGGAAACCCACGTCTCTACACTGGGAGAAAACACACCGACCTCGGAAACGCCCACGCCTCCAGTTAGAAAGCCGTTTTGGAGGTGTCTATGATCCTCTGTCCCCCTGACCACTGGGTACTGCCCTGCCAGGAGATGGTTCTGTAGGCAGCGGGGGAAGGAGCCTGGCCTTTCTTTCTTTTTTTTTATTTTTATTTTTTTTTCCTTTTGGTTGCTATTTTGAGTTTCCATGGCAAGTGAGAAAGGAAAAAATAATTTTCTGAAAAAGCGAGGTCTGTGTGCTGCGAGGCTCCTGGAGCGGTGGAGAGGCTGGCGCGGGCAGAGGCTGGGCAGGCTGGTGGCTGTTAGAGTCATCACCCGGCTTCTCCTTCCTCCTCCACTCTGCAGACCCCGGTGAGGCTGGATGGGAGCTGAGAGCTCTCCTATCCACGCGGTGCTGTCACAAATGCACCCCAGCAGCCCTCATCCAGATTCTCCCTCCACCGAGTCCACTCTCGAATTTCACTGTATCCACCCATCCATCCATCCATCCATCAATCAATCAACAGAGACTTCTTGGGCACCTTCTGGGCTCAAAGCATGATGGGAAAGTAAGCAGAGATGTAAAAATAGCCTTCTGGTCCTCCAGCCTATCCAGTGACCGCGGGGCTCCCCAGCCTGTGACCAATGAACAACTCAGAGGCTGCCCATGCCCAAACAGAGCAGAGCAGAGCAGACGCAGATGCCGGCGACGGGAAGACAGGACAGAATCGGAAACAAGTCAGGTTAGACCAGAGTCCCTCTCCTACAGGTTCCTCTGTCTTGGGGGGCTGTGAGACCCCTTAGGGCTGGCTGGCTGCATCTGCATGAGGACTGCATCCCTCTTCAGTTTCTGCCCCCCCAAGGCCATTCCCTGTGTGGCCTGGCTCTTCAGAGAGGCAGCATGACTTCAGGGAGGAGGAGAGGGGGCAGAGTTCTACCAGCTGGACTCTCTCATGTGGAATAAGTAAAAGTTTCCAGGACTCAGAGGAAAACACTAATTGGATAATGTGAGGGCCAGCTGAAGGAACCGAGCTCCCTGGCTCTCGGAAGACTAATACATTTTTAAAAAGGGCAGCACAGCATGAAAACATGCTGAAAGAAATCATGCTAAAACACTGACAGAATTCATCTGTGAGGGGTGGGACTGTAGGTGACTTTTGTTCTTTTCACTAGGTATATATATTATTTTTTTGAGAGGTTTTTGCTACAGGGTGTGTGTGCTCGCCAGAAATACAGAGAGAGACAAAGAGACAGAAAGGGAGAAATCATGCCCCACCCCCAGGGGGGATGGCCACGCCGCAATCCCTTCTCCTCCATTCTCCTCTCAGGATCTTGGGCACGCATGTACACATGCCTGATGTGGGTTTAAGCCACCGGATCTGGGACCTGAACTGTGGTCAACTATATATATATAAAATAAGTTTAGTCATTAATTTCTTCCATGAGTGAGAGAGACAGAGGCAGACACAGCACCTCCAACAGGATGCTGATGCCATGGCCCACCCCGTCCCCGCTTCAGACAGCCCCGGGCCATGGGGACACATGTGCCTGTCATTCTCAGAGAGGTTGTGGACATGCACCTAGAACCTTCCAACGTGAGATGTCATTGCAGAGCACCATGTTCACGGTGCCACTATCCAGCCTCCATGTCTCACCATATTTTCTAAATTTTTCGCATTAAGGATATATTTCTCTTGTCATTTTGAAAACATACTGAAAGAAATCATACAAGTTTCTTACAAGTGTTACATAGTAGTTTGTATGTTCAATTAAAAAAAAAGAAAGCAGGGAAGGTCTTGGGCTGTGCTTTCACTTGAGAAGAACCCAGCTTCGAGGTGGTCGCTGTCCCTTCGCAGGAACGCATGAGGTCCTTGGTCAAGTGCCATCCTTAGGTGTACCCGAGGCTGCTTGGGACAGGTCTACCCACAAAGCCTCAAGGCAACCCTGCACAGCCTCATCTCTGCGGCGACTGAATGGAAAGACGGAGTTTCCAAATACAAAGCAAAATCTGTTGACAGAGGCATCGGGCCAAAGCCCGCAGCCACCAAGCAGACTGTGGAGGAGGTGACTGGACCCAGGGACACCCTACCACGAGGTCGCATTTTTGGAATCTCTGTACACAAACTCCAATTTATAGCTGTCTGGGATCATCTTCCCAGACGGAATACATTTGTCCAGTTCTGGCACAGATGTGCTCGATGCCTAATGGAAAATGAAAAGAGAGGTTGCAATTTAAAGCCACCGGGCAATGGGAAAAATCTGCGCTTGCTCATCCACACCCCCCAAACCACACGGGTTTCCTCCTGGGTCAAGGAAACTGCGGCTTAGCTGAGCGTCATCACTCTGTGGAAGGGAATCCTCCCAGCATGCTGATGTGGGCTGTGACTGGGGCACTGAGAGCGAGCATCTTGTCAGGGCTGGCAGTGCTGTGACAGGACAGAGTGACATGGCTTTGCAAAATGGCACCGGCAGACACCACGCAGCCCTCTGGGCCTTTTAAAGTCATCACGCCTGTAAGGCTCGCGAAATACTCTCTGTTCACTGGGCTTGGCTGGGTAGCCACACACTCAAAATGGCTTGAAAATTCACACCAGGAGCAGAGTGAGTAAGTCTGGTGTCACTCGGTTCTAGTCACTTTATGGTGTTCCCTACATAGCTGAGAGATGGTCACTTCGGTGACCTGACTGAGGCCTTCGCGGCCCTCTAATCCTAAGTTTTAGCCTGATGAAGCCCAAACTCTCTATACCCTAATTCTCTCTCCTCCTTCTGACCTCAGCCACCGTATGTACGTATGTATATATACGTTTATACAGAGCATTGTACCCCAGTCAGTGTTCAAACAAGGGAGGAGAGATTACCCCCTTTCTCCCTTTTCTCTGACCGACTAAAGACCGTTGTTTAGGGCAACCCTGCCTCCAAGACCACTGCAACCCTGTGCTTTTGTAAAAATGACAGCCAGGGGCCAACCAGGGGGGTGGTGGTTAAAGCGGGTGGATCCCACACGGCTGACTGTGAGGTTCGAGTCCCAGAGCTGCGGCATGAAAAACATGCCTTCCATGACTTAGAATTCTTCCTTCCCCTCCTCTTCCACTTACCCACACCTGTGGGCAGCTCTCAGCTCTAATGCCACTTTCTCAGGGAAGCCTACACTGGCCTAGAGATGCATCTTCCTTCATATCTCATATAACCTTTCCTGTTAGAATAATGCTACATATATTTTTAAAATAATTTTTAAAGAATTATTTTATTTACCTTTATTTATTTACATATTTAAATTTGACCAGAGAGGGACAGAGCGAGAGAGAGAGAGGGAAAATGAGATAGCAAGCTGCCGGGTCTGGGACTCAAACTGTGGTCAGACATGTGGGAGTCCAGTGCTCTTAACCACCACACCCCTGGCAGCCCCCGTACACATATTTTAAGGCTTCAGCCCTTTGAGGGCAGAAACAGGGTCTGTGTTGCTGTATCCCAAGCACCGTCCTCTCTGCCTGCAGCATGGGCTCCCACTAGACATTGGTAAGTGTGTTAAAGGAGGACCTACATAAACCATTTAGGTTATGCTCTGGACTGAACCCCTCATCTCCTGTGTGATGGCATTTGGAGATGCGCTTTCGGGAAATAACTGGGTATAGGTGAGGTCATGAGGTTGAGACCCTCACGATGGGAGGAGAGCTTGTCTTCCCTCTTTTTCTGCCCTGTGAGGACAGAGCAAGGAAGTGACTCTGGGAGCCAGGAAGAGGGCCCTCACCAGAACCCAACCATGCAAGGCACCGTGGTATTAGACTCCCAGTCTTCAGAACTGTGAGAAACAAATTTCTTTTGTTTAAGCTACCCAGTTCATGGTATTTAAAAAATGTCAGCCCCAGATGACTATGAAAGGTTGAAGGAACAACTGGAGCGAATGCAAACAACCTCCCTCAAGGCTCTCCAAGGGAGTACTTTGCAAACTATTTTCAAGTTCATCTGCACCTGGAAGGCCCTACAGATACCTTGGAAGGCATTGTGGGAACACAACATTGGATATACTCAGCAAAACATTGGCCCCCTAGAAAAAGAAAACAAGGCTAGAACACGTACTGCCAGCTCTGCCTTTCCTAGGCCTGCGGGGCTGTGTGCCATGTGCCATGCCCAGACACAAAGAAGAAATCTGTACATGTGCTTTACTGGCAGCTGCAAGTGAGCACTTCATTAGATCAGACACACACACACACACACACACACACACACACACTGCACTGAAAGAAAGAACCAAAGCAATTCTTCCTTCTTGCTTCTGCAGGTAAATACCCTTGTGTACATACGACACAACTCATCGGTAACTCTTCTTTGAGGTCACACCAAGTTAAAAATGACACTTTAACCCTAGATTTTTCATTAAACACTTTCAAACTAATATTCTTGGAGGCAATTCTCATCCCAGATGGGATCATGTAACGAGCTCTCCCAAATCTTGATCCGATTGCACACCCCATTATGATACCATAAGGGTAATGGAGTCTCATCCTTGTAGCAGGCAAAAGCCAAAAGCACATTTGCTCTGGAAGATGATACTAATTGTTTAAAAGAGAAAACCAGCTGCCAAGACTTTCATCCTATTACACAGCGAAAGCAAGGCAAGGATTCGAATGGCATTTTCTCAAAATCATGGATTTTACCAGGAAAAAGAAAATCATGTGCTGAATGCCCTACGACATCCATACCAAATGGGTTCCAAAGGACCTTGCCACCCTGGCCTCAATCTCAGGACCGGGTGAGGTGGAACAGGGACAGAACCGTGTTGGCGATGATGAGAGTTAGTCTGGAAAGGCATGGCGGC